CGGGGACCGGGAGCTGAGGTCGGGGGAGTGGGCAGGCTGGCCGGGGGCGTCCCTGGCAGCCTGGAGGCGGAAATGGGCTGAGGAAGGGCAGTGTCCGAGGCGGGGGCCCAGCGGTGGGGGGATCCGAGCCCCAGGAGGCGAGTCGCCGCACCCAAGGGTGTTTTCTAGGCCCAGAGTTAAGCCCCAGCGGACCCGGGCAGGAGAGTTCGCCCCGAGCCAGTTCGGACTCTTCCACCGACCGTTCCTTTTTGAGAACCGCCATCAGTTTCTCAGTTTCCCTTTGATTTTCCCCAGCTTTTTCTTTTAACGATCTCGGTTTAAAAATAAATGTAGCCGGGATGATGACATTGAGCTGCTTTAGTTCGAGGCGCGTGTCACCACCGTGTTTTAGGTTCTGGTCATTCGGAGACCCTTGCTGCCCTGCCGCTCACCACGTGGTTCGACTCCTAACCGTCTTTGAAATGATAATGTAGAAGTAAGTCTTAGTTGTGCACATCAGATAGTTGTTAGCAGCTCTTTAATACAAAAATCAGGAAACTTCGAAGTTAGCTTTTCCCGAAAGCCCTCATCTAGCCGCATTTCTCACCTCCAAACGATCCACATCTCTGTACCCAGCTTCCCCTAGCAACTGTGGTCTTAAGTTCTACTCTCTTCACATTCAGTTGGAATTAATAACATCAAACACAAGCATTCAGTACTGTACAGCTGTCCCAATTTCCATCATATTATTTCCCACTTTTATATGTTTTTCTAGAGAGAAACTTAAAAGTGTGAAAAGCTGTGTAAATTGTAAACAAAACTAGCTCAGTCGAGTACCTGTTCATTTGTTGAGACAGCAGCTGATAACTCAATTAGCACAAACCTCATTTGTAATATTTGAAGAGGACTTGGTAAAATTTAGCTTTTGGTTCAAGTAGAGGTCACCCAATCAATTTATCCTTGTCACTGACATTCATCTTCCTACCACACACCCCCCCTCCACTACCAAATCATCAGTATTCTCTATCTCAGATGCCACCATCTACCAGGTGCTCAGGCTCGCCAGCTCCTTGGCTCACCCTCTAACCTTCCCATAAATTAATTGCTAGGTCTTATGTATTCTACCTATTAAAACTGATCCAGCCACTTCTCTCCATCTTTATCGTTTACACCTGGTCTAGCCTCTAAATTGGTCTTATCGATCGTTTACACCTGGTCTAGCCTCTAAATTGGTCTTCCTACCTTCAGTTCAGTCTCACTACAGACACAGCTGTTAATCAAAAATTGCAAGCAATGCGTGTGTTATGAAGGTATGCTTGGAGCGTACGGAAGCTCATTGCCACGAAATCTGACCTAGTCAGGGCTGGGGATTTGGCTGCAGAGTCAGGACTATCAAATATCCTTTTGCCTTGATTCTGATAGATTCTGAACTGGAAAAAAAAAATGCTATTAGTCCTTTTAGGCTCCGTAAAGAGGTGCCGAGTGACGGGTCTTCAAACCACCTTGCACAGTGCATTGTGCGGAAATGACCAATTAGTTGTGTGTCCTTAGGGAAACCCTATATCTCCCCGGGTCTCAGACTGTCAACATTATTAGTGCATTCAGGTCAGCTCTGTAGTCCCTTCCAGTTTATACAATTCTATGACTTCTATGCCCCATAAGCATGAATTATGGCCAGAAAGATGGTGTTAAAGGCAGACAGCGTTAGAGGTTGGATCAAGCTACTGCTCTTGTTCACAGAGCTAGATTTTCAGTTTCTCAAAACCTTTAACATCTACAGATTGCCACCTGTCAAGAAGCTATCCCTGCCTGATAGCTTCATAAGGCAGCTACTAAGTGTGCCTGGATTGTTATATCCTCAGGGTCAAGCACACATTGAATACTAAATATTTGTTGGTTTGAATGCAGAAGAAAAGTGATTTGTATTTTAATGGGGTGGTTTTAAGAAATAAGCCTTTTAAGTTCTGGTTCCTCCCAGCTGTTGCATGAACCAAGAATTTACATTGTCTTTGTATTGCCACGTTATTGTTTTGGTGTTTATCTTTCCCACTAGACTATCTCAGGGCAGGAGTTATTATTCTTCCTTGTGTCCCCAGCGTGCTCAGCCCATAACAGACCGCACTATTTCGCTGTGGCACATTAATAGTGAAGACAAGCTTTGTACTTTAGAGCCCATATGAGAAAATATATGAAATAACCAGTAGATAAGTGAAATCTTTTTTAGACACCCAGAATAAAACATCTTAATATAGGGGCAGTACGAGCTAAAGAAACTCACCCTCAGCCAGCAAGGGGAAATCCCAGAGGCCTCAGAAGTGGTAGTAGCAGAGCTGAGATTTGAAGAAGGAATAGGGTTTTGCCAGGGATACCAGATGGGCTAAGGAGTAAAACTAGGAAGGCAAGTGACACACAAGTCAGCAAGTAAACGGAAGAGAGCAGCGTATCCCGTTTCTCTAGTAGACATGGGCTCGGAATGTAATGGTAGGCAGAGATCAGATTACAGAACCGTGCCTGCCATTCATGAGTTTACATGCGGGCCACCGAGTTGCTGAAGAAGAGAAAGTTTATTCAAATGATTATTGACCAAATATTTATCAAGTGGCTGCTGTTTGCTAAGCACTAAGGAATGAAACAAAAAACTCCTGCCCTTCTGCAGTTTAGGTTCTCATGTGGAAACAATCAAAATAAATACCTTGCAGGTCATTATGATGACTTTGGCTTTTAATCATAGTGAGACGGGAAGCCACTGGAAGGCTTTGAGCGAATGAGTAATGTCATTTGACTTTGTCCAGCTGTTGCGTTGAGGATAAACTGGACAATGGCAAGTGCAAGGACATAGTTAAGCAATCGCAAAAAAAAAATCACAGTAATCTAGACAAGAGATAATCAAAAGTGGTTTTGAACAGGTGGTGGTCATAACAGTGGGGAGGTGAAAAGTAGTCAGATTGCACATAATTCGAAGGTAGAATGAATAGGATTTGCTGATAGGCTGGATGCGTTGTTCAAGGGAGAAGATAAGCAGGATTTTTAGCCTGAGGAAATAAAAGAATGGAGCTGCCATTCACTGAGATGGCAGAGACCACACACAGGAAGGGAGTGAGACCAGGAGCTCAGTGTTAAGTTTGAGATGCCTATGAAACATCAGGTGGAGATGTCTCAGGCAGTCGGATATACAGACCTGGAGTTCAGGAAAGCAGTCCTGACTGGACCCGGGAGTGCTCAGCATGTAGGTAGGATCTAGCAGAGAGCATGAGACTTAATGAGATTGAAGAAAACCGTGAAGAGGGCAGAGTCAGTCCTGGAGCGCTCCAGAGCTTAGAGAAAGGAGGAACCAGCAAAGGAGACCAAGGGAGCAGCCAGAGAGGGAGCGGGAAAGCCAGGAAGATGCTCGCTGTGGGGCCACAGTGTTCAGGGGGAGAGGCCGTCTCCAGCTGTGCCAGACACAGGCGAGGCTGGGTAAAGCGAGGGCAGAACTGGTCGTTGGATTTATCAATGGGAAGTCACTGGTGGCCTTGACAAGGAGCAGTGAGAGTGGATTCAAGAAGAGAACTTGAGCACAGAAGTATTAACACTCGAGTTTTCTCGTAAAAGGAAGGAAAGAAAGAAAGATATTTGGAAGAAGTGAAATCAAGAAGAGGTTTCTTCAGGAAAGGAGAAATAATAGTGTGTTTGCTGATGGAAAGATCCAGTGGAGAGGAAATCGTTAAGGATGCTGGGCAAGGAGGAAGAGCAGCAGCACGTTTGTGAGAGGCCGCGGGGCTGGGGGCAGAGACAGTTCATCGTGGTTCGTAGGAGAGACCATACAAGAGGTAGGCGCAGGTGGAGGTAGGTGGGAAAATATGGAAATTTCTTTTCTCTGAATGTTCTACTTTCTCAGTGCAATCGGAAGCAAGGATATGAGAGAGAGGATGGAGGAGGAGGCCCTAGAGGTTTGAGAAGAGATGGTATAAAATAATTACGAGGGTGAGAAAGTGTATGGAACGAGGAAATACATTAAGGGACATGCTCGGCATTAAGATTTGCTTGGCAGCAAAATGAAGATACAGTGACACAGGATCTGACTGTGTCACTTCTTACTGGCCGCTGTGAGAAGGCCAGGAAGACCACTGCAGTGGCGTGAGATTTGAGGAGTCTCGGATCCGTTCAGGCGCAGTGTCGTGGTGTCATTAGCAGGTGGGTAATAATGAAGCTGCAGGTGTGGATGAAATTAGCCAAGAAGAGCAGAGTGACAGGAGCAGTGCCTAGAGCAACAGGAGGATGAGCCCAGGACCCAGAAGGCCCTTCCAGGGAAGTAGGAGAAACCAAGGAAAAGAGGGAACCAGGGCTAAGCTTAGATGAGGCTCGTAGGCGCCATCTGGGTTGTTTTCTGCTGGCTGGAGTTTTGGCGAAGGAGCAGGGCAGAACCTGCTTGCACTGTTGAGTAAATGGAAATCAGGAGTACAGACAGTCAGCAAAGACTGTTCCTCCAAGAAAGGTACGCAGAAGTAGCAAAGCCTAACACGAGGCCTGGAAAACCATTCCTTGCAGAGACAGCAGCTTCTGGAAAGGCCTGGAAGCAGAGAAGAGCATGAAGAAGGAATTTTAAATAGTTTGATATGAAATCTAAATATGTATTTTTTAAATAGTAATAATTTTGTGTTCATTTGTCTTTTAAAACTGCTCAGTGTGTAGTTCCACTTGGACAAGGGGATGAAGGGTGCCTCTGTTTAGCTGCATGCGTCCCTTCGCTAGCTTTAAAAAGTATCAAGATCTTTTGTGTGAAGTGGATGTGGAGACCACTCAGGCTCCTGAAACGGGACAGCGGGCATAGTGTTCTCTTCAGGAGCATCACTGCGTTCCCACGTCCCTCCGCCAGCCATAAAGGTGTTGGGGGAAAGCGCCTCCTTTCCTCTCATTTGCTTGTTTCAGGATGTAAGAGTACAGCAGAAAATGTCCACTGAACGGACTTCTTGGACAACTCTGTCCACTGTTCAGAAAATAGCGCTGGGCCTGGGGATCCCAGCCAGCGCCGCAGTTGCCTACATCCTGTACCGCAGGTACCGGGAGAGCAGAGGTACGTGGACCCCACGCCTGCGCACACGGCAGCGCTCACCACCGCGGCCTCTGCCAAGTGGACCGACAGCTGCCCTTGCCAGGCCCGGTGTCCTTGGCTGGGATGTAATTGGCTTTCTCTGAGGGATCTTTGAAACGCTTTGGTTTCTTCTTTTCTCTGTTCTTCATGTGAAGCTCTTATCATTTATATGAAGCTATCATTTCTATGAAATGAAAAATTCATAATTCTGTTGATCTGTTCCCTTCAACATCAGTGCTGCAATGGTTCTTTTTTTTTTAATATCTATATTCATCTTTTTTACACGTAAGCTCCTTCTATTTAGTCGTTAGGAGAAGGCTGACTGGGGTGCAGTTTCCCCAGCGGCCGGGCTGGAGAAGTGATGCGTGTACAGACGGGGGTTCCGGGCCCGCTCTTCGGGCGCCGTCGGCCTCCGTTCTTCTCCAGAAGTAGTTTGCCTGAACCCGGCAGAGCCAAATGCCCCCTCCACTTGAGCATCTGAAACAGTGTCCCAGAGAGCGTGCCCCTCTTCCAGTCCTTCGGGGCGTTCCAGTACCCACTCAGTGGCGACTTCTCCCTGTCCTTGTGGCTGAGACCCTCGGTCTGTCTCTTGGCTCGGTGTGTCCGACAGCCCCGTCAGGGGAGGGCTGGCAGTGGCGTTGGGTGCTGTCAGCCTGACCGGACGAGCGTGATCTGTGCAGAGGAGCGGCTGACGTTCGTTGGGGAGGACGATGTCGAGATGGAGATGCGAGTGCCCCAGGAGGCCGTGAAGCTCATCATCGGCCGGCAGGGAGCCAATATCAAACAGGTGAGCGCGCGGGGGCTTCCCGCTGTCCCGGGGATTGACTGCTCCCCCTCCCTGCCCCCGCCCCACAAAAGCCACCCACGCTATGTATACTTTAAACATAAAAAATGGAGGAACTTTTTTTAGCTAGTATGCTGACTCCCTTCTAGAGATGAGTACTTCTGCTCCCTAGAGAATGGATGACTCGGCTTGGAATGGGGATCTCTGCGTGGATGAGTCTCAGCTTGGTATAGCTCGAATCATTCTGTTCTACTGTGGAATTAATGAACTCTCATTAATCGATAGTAAATATGGACTACCTCCCTGATTGTCCGTACCATCTTCCATTGTTCAGGTAGAATGTCAAGAAAACAAAATATCTAAGTCTCTAATCCACATAAGGTTAGGAAAGCGGGTTCCGGACACAGGGAGGAGCTGTTTGAGTTAACGGCCGTTCGGGGCTGCCGTTGTCACTGACCCCCTTCCGTAGGAGGACTGCGTGGAGCGGCCCGATTTGGCTGCTAGCCGTGCAGTGCCGTCTCCCTCCAGGGTCGGGCTCCAGGTGTCCTCCGCTGGCCCGAATGGGCGCCCTTCCGGAAGCACACTGCCATGTACCCTTTTCTCTGCAGCTGCGGAAACAGACAGGTGCTCGCATCGATGTGGACACAGAGGATGTAGGCGATGAGCGGGTGCTGCTTATCAGTGGTTTTCCTGTTCAGGTGTGCAAGGCCAAAGCAGCAATCCATCAGATCCTGACAGAGAATACCCCAGTGTCTGAGCAGCTCTCAGTCCCCCAGAGATCTGTGGGCAGAATCATAGGTACCGCCGGACGGCTGCCTCTGCCGTCTCCGTTTCTTCTTTGCCTTCCTGTCACACCTTTCCGAGGGTTCCCGGCCGTCTCCCCCTTCACCCTGCCGTGAAAAAAAGACGTTGAGACTAGAGGTTTCCTTTTTCACAGAACTATCGGTAAAGCAAAGCCCATTCCCTCAGAAGTCGTATGAGCCGAACTTTACAGATAGGTTCCAGAGGGTTCAGGTTCGGGTAAATGTGCTTCCCTCGTAACGTGTAGAGGGAGACCGAGGCCGCTCGTGCCGCCCCAGCGCTTTGACGGGAGTGCTGCAGAGAGCCCCCGGCACGCTTCCTTCACAGAAGCGCCCTGTCCTTGGCCCGACGTTTCACACGTCACGTAAGGTCTCTTCTAACGAAGTGGGAGGCAGGCACGCTGAGTGGTCAGAAACAGAAATGGCGCGAAGCCAGCCTGGCCAGTGCCGGGTGGACGTGAGGCGGGCAGAGTGGAGAATCCGGCAGCCCCCTCCGCGCGGCGGGGGTCCCCGTAGCGCCTCTCCCTTCGGTGTTTTGCATTCCGCTCCTTGTAGATGCGCACACAGTGGTTTCTCTGGTGGCGGAGGCCAGCCAGGACCCAGGACGCGGTCTGATGTGTTGTTGAACGTAGGGCGAGGCGGCGAGACGATTCGTTCCATCTGCAAGGCCTCTGGAGCCAAAATTACCTGTGACAAAGAGTCGGAGGGGACGCTACTACTATCGAGACTTATAAAAATCTCAGGCACGCAGAAGGAAGTGGCAGCAGCCAAGGCAAGTAGCTGACGGACTTGAATCACATCGAAGAACGAGGAGAGCCGTTCATTCCATCCCGGGTCAGGCCAGCTGGCCACAGCTCTCGCCCCTCCCCTTGTTCCCCACAGCACTTGATACTAGAGAAAGTTTCTGAGGATGAAGAACTTCGCAAGAGGATCGCTCATTCTGCAGAAACCAGGGTCCCACGCAAGCAGCCGATCAGTGTGAGACGAGAGGCCATGGCCGAGCCGGGCGCAGCCGGAGAGCCAGCTTTATGGCACAGCGCCGGTGCCAGGACACAGCAGGCTTCGCCGCCGGGGGCTCCTCCCCACAGAGGGGGTGGCGACGTAGCCATCGTGGGGCCAGAAGAAGGTTCCTGGGAGACACCTAACAGTGACAGCGTTCAGAAGTCTGGAGCCCAGACCAGTCCAGAGACGTCCATGTTTGAAAGTATGAAACGGGGGTGGAACCCACTAGCTACATGAAGATAGAAATCCTGGCTTAGGTAACCCAAAATAGGAACAGTAAAAAATAACTTCTGTTTTCTTAACTACACTTACAAGTCTCATCACAGATAGGCCTTTTTTGGTAATATTTTACTTAGGTTGGTACTAAAGATAATATTTTTCTGAATACAAACCACTTAGTGATGGAGAACATTATAGAAATATGCCGATTGGCAGGAAACTAGTCCAGGAGTAATATATCAAATAATTGAATTTACATGGTATTCTTTCACCAAATACAGTTATTAAACAAGTAAAATACTCGGCCCAATTCTTTTTCCTTTTATTTTTTTGCCTGTCTCGTTTTTGAAAACCAGCTGCTGAAGAAGAATGAAAAGGCTGTGAGCTTTCTGTCCCACCCACAGCTGTGGGATGGGCAGAGGAAACGGGGCCCCGAGAGGCTCACAGACTTATCCAGGGTCACGTAATGAGTCAGTGGGAGCATGGGATAGGGAGCGAGCCCACATCTGTCCGAGCGCCTTCCACTGGTCCGCGCATAGCTGGCGTGTGCAGGGCTTACCGTCACTGTAATCGATGACTGATTTGGGTACCTGGCCGATGACTAAGAACGTAAACTCTTATTACTCAGTTCCGTAGGAAGGCATGGAACATAGCTCAGTGCCTTTCAGGGTGTTCCTGTGTGATTCATCCGGTTGTCCCTCCAGCTCCCTTTAAAATGGTAATGGCCACTTTTTATTTGGCACCTCTCACCCCCAGATGCAGTCTCCCCGTGCCAACCAGAGATGGTTCTGGTGTGGTCACCACATCAGACGGTGGTGATTCTGCAGCTTAACTGGCTTCTCTCTGTTCAGTCCCCAGTCCTGACTTCAGTTTCCATGCCGATGAGTTCCTGGAGGTCTACGTCTCTGCCTCGGAACATCCCAACCACTTCTGGATCCAGATCATCGGCTCCCGCAGCCTGCAGTTGGATAAGCTTGTCAGTGAGATGACCCAGCACTATGAGAACAGTCTGGTGAGTCGCCTGAGGGGCAGGGCTGGGTCTGATGCAGAGGGGCCTGTCCTGTTCATCGTGGTCTATTCGCTTCCTTTTCCTGTGGAGCAGCTACTTGTCCTTTTTCCTTCCGATATTGCCCGTTAACCTGTTTTCAGCCTACGCCTCACTAACTCGCTCCTCTCCTGGCTCCGCCTCCCCACGTGTAGCCCGAAGACCTGACCGTGCACGTAGGGGACATTGTAGCAGCACCTTTACCTACGAATGGCTCCTGGTATCGAGCCCGGGTCCTCGGCACCTTAGAAAACGGGAACCTGGACCTCTACTTTGTTGACTTCGGAGATAATGGAGATTGCCCACTGAGGGACCTCAGGGCACTCAGGTCAGTGTGGAGGCCAGGGTGGGGTCAGGCTGGAGTCCCAGCTGTCGCTCTGCCCCGGCCGGAGGACAGTGAGCTGCTGCCCCCCTCACTGCGGGCCTTGCAAGAGGGCATGGTCACATGGAGCATGATCACGTGGAGCAGACCGTGTCTTCCCCCGCTGGGTGAGCCGCCGCTGTCTAGGAGCAAGGGACAGGAAGGCCCTTCCGGCGCTGCGATTCTGACTTTCATTGCTTTCTCTTCAGGAGTGACTTCCTCAGCCTTCCGTTTCAAGCAGTAGAGTGCAGCCTGGCGCGGATCGGCCCCGCAGGTAAATTGGTCACGACACCTACTGACCTTGCCTCCAAGTAGAGTGACTGACACAGCCTGTGGGAGGAGCTCTCACATTCTGAGGCTTTTCGAGTTGTAGGGGCTCAGGTGTCTCGTCTTCACCAGCACTGGAAAGCAACAGCCAGAAACTTGCCTGGCGGTCACGTAGGTGTCTTCCAGCACAGGAAGCTGCGGTTCCCATTGCCCTCCAGGGGGCACTCGCAGCCCGGGCAGCACGGACCGCTCCCCCCTTCGGAGTCCCCCACCACCCCCCAACAATCTTTTGCCAGGCGAACAGTGGGAAGAGGAAGCTTTGGACGAGTTTGACAGACTCACTCACTGTGCCGACTGGAAGCCCCTGGTAGCCAAGATCTCTAGCTACGTCCAGACTGGGATCTCAACTTGGCCCAAGATCTACCTGTATGATACTAGCAGCGGGAAGGTAAGCCAGGGGCTCGCACGCCGCTCGCTGGCTCTTCGGTGTGTTTATAGCTCATTTACTTGTTTTTCCCAGAAACCCTGACCGGCATGACTCCCGCGTGGTCAGATCTGCTCACTGACCAGCAGAGGGATGTCTGTAAAGCATCGATCCTAGCTCTTCTGCCGTCCCCTCAGATTTGCCCTTCCTCACAGAGAGATCTCGCCCTTTTCATTGTTCTTCTCAGAAACTTGATATCGGGTTGGAATTAGTTCGTAAAGGGTACGCAGTTGAGCTTCCCGAAGACATGGAAGAAAACCGAGCTGTCTCAGACACGCTGCACGACGCGGTGAGTGAGCCATCACAGCCACTGAGGGTGCTGCCTCAGGCCAGATCTCGTGCCTCAAGAGACTCGAGGGCTCTTGGGCATGCCATTTTGCAGAGGGCTTTACCCAGGACGCCGAGTTGCTCTATGGGGTTATCAAAGGCAGTATCGTGTCCCTCTGGGCAGCCAGACTCAACTGCCTGAACCACATCCTCTGAGCAGAAAGACTGGCCACCCCTTTCCCTCCGGCCAGCACATTCTTCTCCTGTTTGCATCCTCTCAGGCCACAGAAACAGACATCTCTGCCAGCAGCGTGCTCACCGAGACCAGGAAGAGCCCTGAAGAGAGAGCGAACACCCTGTCCTGCCTCAGCTTATCAGGTACCAACAGCATCTCCTCCCGGAGCGTCCTCCGCAGCCACCATTTCTCAGTCGGCCTCCCCAGCTAGGGAGCTCGTCGAGGCTCTTGGCCGGGGGTCACAGAGCACCCCGAGCCTCCATGGAAGTGCCTGCTAGCTTAGGGTGGGGTCTGACTTTGTCCTCATTTCTGCTGTGCAGAAGCTGCCTCCATGTCTGGCGATGATAACCTCGAAGATGACTTCTTAATCTGAAGTCGGCTTCCGCTGCCTTGGCCATCCGCTTTGCTGTGCGAGTGCAGCTCTCATCTGTCTGTAGCAGCAGGAACAGTAGTGAGGATGGCAGCAGGGGCCCTGCTGCACCCTCGCGTCCCCACAGCCTAAGTACCACCTCTGCAGCTGCTTTCCTGTAGCTCACCTTGCTCTCAGATCGAGCCCTTCCAAGCCTTTCGTGTCTTTGGCAGAATTTGCACAGGATTTGGTGCCTGGAGAGAGGAGCCTGTGCCAAAGAGATCTATGCAGTCCTTCCTTCATTACACGCACGGTCCGGCCTGCTGTGGGCCAAGTGCGTTTTCTCCTTCCGTCGGACTACCAGAAAGTGCGGGGTGGCGGGAGACACGCGTGCCCCTGCTCCACCCCCTCCCACCCCATCCCAGGGTTTGACTACTGCTTGTTATGTCCGGGCTGCTCAGCATCTGGCTTGTTCCCCTCTGCCAGTCCGATGCCCCCGCCGCTGGGCTGTGCCCTTTGCAAGGCTGGGAAACAGCCAGGGGCTCGGTCTTCGGAAGTGACAGTCTGCGCGCTTCCGACGCAGCCCGTCAGGCGGCTCTGGCTAAGGGAGGGTTTGAGTGATGCACTGCAGTTGAGTCAGGAGGCAAAGGCAGGACAGCGTATTTATGTTAAAACGCCCCAGGAGGTGGGAGAGCACTGCCTCCCAGCCTCAGCTGCCCACGTGGAGACGGGTTTTGCAAAGCGCTGCAGCTGTTCCCTTGTACCCTTGGGTGAAATCCCAGTTGACAGAGGCGGCTCAGGAAGCACTCTAAACTGCTGATGTAGTATCTGTAGTACGTGTGTGCGCGCACACACACACACACACACCGAGAGAGAGCGAGAGCACATGTAGTTGTTTAAAGCGTGTGGGAGATTCTTTGCTGAATAAAGTTCTCAAAAACTTAAAACTAAATGCTGATTGAGTTGCAAGGTAGAAGCAGGCCTTTGGCAGTTTTCACCAGACTTAGGTTGAGAAGATTCCCAGACAGCTCCCAGAGAGGGGCCACCCCTGAAGCGAGTGTCTCTCCTGCGTATAGATCACATTCTTTTCCTAAAGTTAACTTCAGAACTAACCATTCACTAAGAACCAGAACCAACTCGGTCTGGACTGTGTACAACCCCACACAAACTATTTGGAAGAAAAGGCCTGGATTAGGGTTCTAGAAATCTGGGTCCTAGCATGAGGCCTTCGCTCTAAACAGGTTGTAAGACTTTAGGGAGCCCGACCCCCTGCCAGCCTGTCTGCACTCCCGCCCGCACTACGAGGACCCAGTGAGAACCGTGACGGGACGTGAAAGTAAACATTATAAATGTATAGTAGCGTGGGTGGGGGAAGACCAGTAAATGAACATTGGTTTTGCTTAAGGATCAGCAAGGTAAACTGGAAAACTTGAAGTTAGCACGTGAGGATGCCTTATGTCGGATTTGTTTTCCGAGCTAGGAATTAGTGAGGTCTACCCATATACTACATGGCAACTCCATTTTCCCACAGCTGCGACTTTCAAAGTTTACAGAAAAGCCTCAGTACCAGTGAGCAGAGGCTCCCGTGAAGGAGCAGCCCTGAGGAGCAGCCCCCGGGTTCGGAGGGCTCCGTGGGGGCTGCCCCGAGCTTGCTCACTGACGCAGGCTTGGCCCCCAGCAGGGTCCTGAGGCCACTTAGTGCCTGGTTTCCTCGCCCCTCATCCCCTCACCCTCAGGCGGAGAGGGCCCCGACATAAGTTCATAAGACTTCCTGTTCTAGAACACAAGTGGCACCTCGTTCCTGGCCACCGTTTGCTACTGTGCGTCAAAGTCTGTCCCTTTACCATGGCCTCTCAGCCTCGTCAGCTTACGTCGCATTCCGATGGGTTCCTTGTCCTTCCAGTACGAGCCTGTGCTGTCCTGCCTGGAACACCCTCTTCCACGCCTCCTGTTTTTTCGTCAAAGTCCCCTTGAGGCAAAGCCGGGGGACCCATATGCCTTCTCTGTCCTCCACGTCCACAGAGAAGGAATTAGCACTTGTGTCCAGTTAGCTTAAATGTGTGGATGACCGGTACGCTTGGCTCTTGCTCCCAGCGGGAGCTCAGTAAATGGTTAGAATAAAGGGGGCCTGGCTTTGGGGTGCAGGGAAGGCAAAGGAGCCTAAAATCTTTAGGTCTTTTCCGCCTTTGGTCAGGTCCCTGACCTTTCCAGTCATTAAGTGTTTCTCGTACAGCAACTTCTGCTCTGCGAGGCTCATGTTCCCCGGCAGCCAACCCCACTTTCACCCCAAGAAACAGTGAACACGAGGACTGCACTACCCTTTATTCCTAGGGTGGAAGGAGGTGTCCTGAATCACATCCTCGGCCCCCGGGTCCTGTTTGTCAAGGCCCCCAGCCCCTCACACAGTAGGAATAAGCATGTTCAGGGAGGCTCGCTGTGCAGGTGGCCCAGGTCCCTTTCAAGAGGATACACCATAAAGATGGCATTGTCCCAGGGAGGGAGAGCAGGGTGGTCTGGTCTGACCAGCTCGAAGCCCATGTAGCTGAAGGCCCGCAGCAGGGCACCTGTGGAGGAGAGGGCGAATTAGAGCTGGGAAGCCACGAGCACTCTAGGGGTCTGGCGGGTTCCACTAGGGAGTGGCCGCGGGGGAGCCGTATGGCGCAGGTATCGGGAGGATGCGCTTTAGAGTCCCACGGGCCCAAGACTAACCCTAGCGTGAACATTCACTTAGCTATGTGACAGTCTACGAGTTGACCCTTCTGAACTTCAGTGTCTTCATTCGTAAATTGGGGACTACAGAACCTTCCTCAACAGAATTTGGGATTAAACGAGATGTTGATGAAATGCCTAACAATGATAGTTCTGTCTACTCTTGACCGTTCTTTGTCTCATGTCCAACAGAGTATGAGCTCGAGGGAGCAGGTAGTTTCTGTAAGAGGCTCTCAGCACCTGGTCGAATATACTCCTGGTCCTTACTCCTGACCCTTTCATACTGCAGGTGCTTAATCCACTGGGTACCCTTCCTGTCCTACCAGCCACATCCCTCGAATGGATGCTATGCAGTTTCACCGGTGCCGCTTCAGTCTGCTCTCTCAAATCTACCTGCAGGGACTTGAACGGAATGCTAGATACCTTAATTTCCTTTGTGGGGGCAGGGAGGCCCTAAAATGCTTGCGGGTGCCCTTTTTAAAGAGTAGGGGGAAAGAGCGTCTCCTAAAAAGGCAAACGCTTCAGCACCAAGGGCCGAGGACAGCAGATCCCACCTCTGTCGTTCCGGCTGTTCTGAAAGTTTACAAACACAGAGTCCACATCGGTCTTCTCTTCCACGTATTCCAATGTCGCAGTCAAACTAGGAGCCAGGGAGAAGAATCACAGTTAACGGAACGTTTAGTGGACGCAGAATCCAGAAAGGTGCCCACTTGGAGCAGAAGAAATCTCATGGGTCAGGTTTTGCTGATCCCAGCCAAGAAGTGCAAGTTACTAAATTAATTTTGATAGACCTGTCTCTGAAACCAAGGGCTCATTCACTGTGAGACTGGACACCCATGGCCCGGGCAGGGCCTGGGAGAAGGCCATGCCCTGTCAGCAGCCGGAGAGCACATCCTAGTCAGCTGTTCATGGATCCTGTTTCTGCCCGAATCCAGCAACCTCCCACGGGCTGCATCCTTGAACCCCGGCCCCAGGCTAGCTCGCGAGCCTGTCTGCGTGCAGTTCAGCTGGTTCGGCTGTCTCCAGCTCCTGAGTCCGCCCTCACCTGACTATGATGGGGTGAGGGTGACAGCCCCTCCCTCTGCCCTCCCCTCTCCCAGCCAGCCAGATTCAGTCACCTTTCTCGGTTTCCTCGATCCAAGGCCCGATATGGGATGTCCAGGAAGAGTCGGTGGTCACAGAGAAGGCCGTGCCAGTGGGCAGAGGTCTTAGGGGTGAGGCGGAAATGGAAGTCTAGCTGCACTGGGGCCTGGTGGAGCCGGGGGTCAGTAGCCAGTACCGTCAGGTTGCCAGCCTGGAAAGGGAGTGAAAGTGAGTGGTGGTGATCTGCTCGTGTGCTCATCAGACCTCAGGCCGACTGAGGCGTCTGGAAGCGAGGAGGGGGCGGTGGAAAGCCTGCGAGAACCGGAACCAGGGTTCCAACAGCGTCCCTTAGCTCTAGGACCTACTCCATCGCTATCGTGGAGCTCTCGATGGGAAACGTCGGGTCTGGAGCCAGTGTCGAATGCTGCTGCCAGCCTCGCCTCGGCACACTGCCCTTCGGAGACGGACAGACACGTCAGCGCCGCTTCTCAGGGCTGTGCCACCTGCTTGCACTCTTCACCGGCAGATAAGACAATTCATTCCACTTTTTCCCATCATATGGGTTTCCTTTGAATTGCATTTCTCATCTAAAATGCAGAGGTCACACGCAGGCGCGTTGGTGCAATACGATGCGGGGGCAAGTGCAGGAGTTCCGGGTTCGAGTCCCGGTTAGCATCTGAGCAGCCTTATGTCCCACGAGCCCTAAGACGGGCTGCTCGACCTCTGTTCCCACTTTTCCCATCCTGCGTTTCACCACCAGCTCTACAACCTCGACATAGATCTCTGGGTCAGAATCCTTGTCTATGAAGCAAGCAGCGTTTGCACCTGAGCTCCGGGGTCTCTTCTAGCACTCTCTATGACTTATTTTCCAACCAGCTAATGTCCCTTCTCTGCAAGGTATCGTTACAGCGAGCACAGGGTTGTCCGGTACCAACTCAGCACCAGTTCACAGTCCACTTACCGAATACAGTTCTTTAAGCTGGTCGTGGTCACTCTGCTCGGTGTTTCTGCCCACCTGGAGGCCTGCTAGGGACTCAGGAGCACTGAAGGCAGCAACGGGGCCGGAGTGTCAAGTCCTCTTGTTCCTTGTAAGTGATGCTGCTTGGGTAAAAAAGGCCCGAGTTAGATTATCTCTGAGTCTGAGGGGAGAGAGAGGGTCCTAACTGCCAGGAACTCAGGCCCAGGCTCTGGCACCAGCTTCTGCATCTTCTGTGGACCAGTCTGTTCCCATTTTCCCAGGCCAGCCAGTTGGAAAAACTCTAAACTTCCACGCCAGCCTTCCATCTATTTTGCTATTGTCATCTTCTTGCCACTTGGGAAGTCCTCTCAAACTCTTTATTTTTCCTTCCAATTTACATGAACAACTACAAGTAGAGATGAAAATAAGTACCTTTTACAACACGGCAGCATCTTCTCCCGGAGGGTGATCCGGTATTTGTAGCAGTAGAGGTAATAGGCGTATGGTGACCAGATCGGGTACTGGTAGTTCCGTGTTTTTCCCCTCTTGATGTAAGAAAGGGAGTAGATAGAGGGGCGAGACCTGTTACAAGGCAGCTTTTCAGTTCAGTGCCTCCCTGCGGCAAAGTGAGATTCAGAGATGAGCGGCAGAGGTTTAGGCAACCTGGTGCCATTATGATGCAGTGGGCACTATGACATGGACGAGGAGTCAACCCTTATGTCACTTCAAGAGTCCGGTCTCCTCCCGTACCCCACCCTACCCCCTTAGCCAAGTACGCATTTCACGGCTGTACCAGTTAGTTGTTAAAATACTTCAGCTTCTCTACTGGTTGGTAAACAGCTCTGCCTGAGCACTTGTGCCCACCCGGCCTGCCCCCGCAACACACGCACGTCCTCACTCCCCCTAAAATTCAGCAACGAAAGGGCTGGTGTCTGCCACTCCAAGAGGCCTCCAAGACCCTTATCCAAGGTCTGACCCGATTGGCTGGTTCCCAGTTCCTATCAGTTCAGTATTTTTATCATTATCCCTACCCTGAATAAGTTAATAACTCAGGAGTGCTACACACCGTTGAGCCTTCTCATTGCAAACAGAATGCCTCCAGGGGCACAGATAGCTAAAGGAAATTAGTTGATCTGCTGGGCGGGCCTGTAGCAAAAAAGCTCACACCCTGTCTCAAAGAAGCTGGATATTTCTCAGTTCCAT